TGAGTGCTACAATGCAGAACTTCTAACACTCCTTTCTGCACTTGACTTCTGAGAAAGTGATACTTCATCTCAATGTGCTTGCTTCTTCCATGTAGCACTAAATTCTTGGCAAGATCAATTGCAGACTTATTATCAATCATCAGCTTCAGAGGTTCCTCAACTTCAACCTTCAGATCATGCAGGAGATTCAGAAGCCAAACTGCTTGACAAGCAGCTACATCACCTGTGATATACTCAGCTTCACATGTTGATAGAGCCACGACAAGCTGTTTCTTGGAACTCCAGGAAATTGGACCTCCCAGAATTTTAAACAAGTATCCAGAAGTACTTCTTCTGTCCACTCTGTCTCCGCACCAGTCAGAATCAGAATAACTTACTAATTCTGATTTTGTCTTTCTTTCAGAAGGAAACATCACTCCATATCTCAGAGTTCCCTTGATATATCTCAGAATTCTGACAGCAGCTTGGAAATGAGACCACTTTAGATTACTCATGAATCTACTAACCAATCCAACTGCATAACAAATGTCAGGTCTAGTATTACATAAATACCTTAGAGAACCAACCAACAGTTTGAAGGTTGTTGAATCAACAAAATCACCATCAGAGTCAGAATCCAATTTTTGATTGGTTTCTGATGGTGTCACATCAACTTTGTAATTCTGCAGCTTAAATCTCTTCAGAAGTTCGTGTTCGTATTTTAACTGATACAGAATGATACCCTTCTTCGAGTACAGAATCTCCATCCCTAGGAAATATGTCATTTTTCCTAGATCTGTCATCTCGAACTCATTCATCAGAACTTCCTTGAACTTCTTTATATTTTCTGGGCAGCTACCTGTTAGCAAAATGTCATCAACATAGAGACACACCAGAATCATATTGTTATCAGAGTGTTGTACATAAACTCCATATTCCATCTCATACTTCTGAAACCTCTGCTTCTTGGAAAATGAATCAATTTTCAGATTCCAAGCTCTAGGCACTTGCTTCAGTCCATACAAAGCTTTATTTAACCTGTATACCATCCCTTTCTGATTCTTTTTCACAAATCCAGGAGGTTGTGACACATAAATTTCTTCCTATAATGGACCGTTCGGAAATGCAGACTTCACATCCAGATGCATTAAAGGCCAATTTCTGTTTGCAGCTAAAGCAATCACCAGTCTGATTGTTTCATGCCTAGCTACAGGCGCAAACACCTCAAAGTAATATAGCCCAGGTTTCTGAAGAAAACCTCTAGCTACTAGTCTAGCTTTGTGCTTGCCAATTGAACCATCTGGCTTAAGTTTCAACTTAAAAACCCATCTGATGCTGATGGCTTTTTTCTTATTTGGAAGTTTAGTCAATTTCCAAGTTTTGTTCCTTTCTATTGCCTCAAGTTCTTCTTTCATGGCATTAAGCCATTCTTTCTTCTTGAGAGCTTCTTCAATGCCCACTGGTTCAAAATCTACTAACATGGCACACTTAACAACTTCTCCTTCAGAGTCAACGTCATTATCCTGCAGCATGTCAAAATCTGCAAACCTTTTGAGTTTTTGTCTAATTCTATGTGGTCTTTGAGCTTGTTCTGAAGCTGCACCAGAACTACTACTTTCAGAGTTACCACCTTTAGAGTTTTCCCTTCCAGAACTATGATCACCACCAGTTTCTGGATCATTATCAGCATCTGGATCAGAATCAGATCCATTTCCAGAATCTTCTTCTGACTCATCTTCAGAATCTTCAGGATCAGATTCATCTTCTGAACTTTCTAAAACATCTTCAGAGGATAACTCTGGTGTTGGCACTGCACCAGAATCTGATTGAGATTTGTTCCAATCCCATGTTTCAAACTCTTTCACCACAACGTCTCTGCTGACTTCAACTTTATTAGTTTTTGGATGAATAAAGCTTATACGCCCCTGTACTGTGGTACCCCACCACCAACATTACTTTGCTTTTATCATCCAGTTTTTATCTTCTAGCTTCTGGAACGTGTTTGTAACATACAAAGCCAAACACCTTCAGATGAATGACACTCTGCTTATCTCCAGCCCTTTTCTCTAAAGGAACAACTTCCTTCAGTTTCTTCGTTGGACACCTGTTCAAAATATATGTTGATGTGGCAACAGCTTCTCCCCATAGCACGTGAGGTAGCTTTTTCTCTTTCAGCATGCTTCTGGTCATATCAAGCAAAGTTCTATTTCTTCTTTCAGCAAGACCGTTGTGCGGAGGAGTATATGGAGCAGTAACCTCATGTTCTATTCCATTCTCCTCACAGAACTTCTGAAACACTGTAGAGTTATACTCACCTCCACCATCTATTCTCAGAATTTTTAACTTCTGACCACTCTATTTCTCAGCCTTCACTTTGAATTTCTGGAACTCAGTAAACACTTCATGCTTGAACTTGATGAGTGTTACCCATGTCATTCTTGTGAACTCATCCACAAAAGACACAAAATATTTGTTTCCTCCAAGTGAAGGTACTGGAAATGGTCCACACACATCAGAATGTACTACTCCCAGAGCATGCTTCGCTCTGGGGGCTACTTCTGATGTAAATGGAAATCTAGGTTGCTTGCCTTTCATGCATATCTCACACGACTTCTCAGGCTTCACAATCTTCAAAATACCATGTACAAGCTTCTTAGAACATAAATGCCCTAAGCTTCTATAGTTCAAATTCCCCAACCTTTTGTGCCACAACTTATTGTTACCTTCAGCACCTTCTGCACTAAGGCACGTTGCTTCAACTGTTTCTACATTTACCTTGAATGTTATGTTGCCTCCTTGTTCAGACTTCATAATTAACTTCTAATTGGAATCATACAATGTCAGAAGATTGTTTTTCATAACAACTGAGAAACCTTTCTCAATCAGCTGACCTACGCTCATCAGATTGCTTCTAATTCCAGGAACATACCAAACGTTTTTGATCAGAATGTCTTTCCCATTATTCACTCTAACTCTGACATCTCCCATACCTTCTGCGTTAAGGTACTTATCGTCAGCACATCTGATTTTTGTTCTCCTTCTTGAGTCAATGTTCGTCAGCCATTGTTTGTTTCCAGTTAAATGATTTGAACAACCAGTGTCCATATACCACCAATCTTCTGAGCATTTTCCATCAGAATCAGAAGCCATTAGTAGTACAGGTTTATCATCAGAGTTTCTCTTAGCCATATATGCTTCTTCTGATTTCCTTTCCTTGTTTGACCTACAATCTCTGGCAAAATGGCCAAATTGTTTACAAGAGTAACATTGAACCTTCCTTTTGTCATACCTCTCCTTTCCTTTATGATATATCTTATCATCAGAAGTTGAGGCTTCTGACTGCTGGAATCTATCACCGCATTTATTCTGCTTCTGGTCTTTCTTGACAAAAGAAGCCTTCAGAGCTTGCTCAGCTTTCCTCTCAGAATTTCTCTCAAACAGACGTAACTCCTGTGCTTCTAAGCTGCTTTGCAATTCTTCTATTCTCATAGTTCCCAGATCTTTAGAATATTCAATAGAAACAACAATGTAATCAAACTGAGGAGTAAGCGACCTCATAATCTTCTCTATGATTACCTGTTCAGACAGAGTTTCTCCACACGCCTTTATCTCGTTAGTGATCAGAATCACTCTGGAGATATATTCAGAAACTTTCTCACTGCTCTTCATGTTTAGGTTCTCATATTGCTTTCGTAGGGATTGAAGCTTCACCTTCTTTACTGATGCGTCACCACCGTAACATCTCACCAGTAAATCCCACGCCCCTTTTGACGTTGTTGAATCAACAATCTTCTTGAACACACTTTCATCCACACACTGATGGATATAGAACAGAGCTTTCTGGTCCCTCTTCCTCATCATCCTCTCAACAGTTCTCGGTTCTTCAGTTGCATCTGCTGTAGCTGGTACATAACCATCTGTAACCAGATCCAGAACATCTTGCGTACCAAACAACACACACATTTGTATCATCCATCTGTTCCAGTTTTTGCCATTAAAAACTAGAAGTTTGGTGCTCAAACTACTGTCTCCACTCATTTTAAACCTTGCACGGATTTTTCAGATCTTCAAACACACTGTTTCCTAACCCACAGAATCAAATTCTGTTCAGATTTTGTTCAAGATTTCAACAAAAAATCAATGAACCAAAATCAAACACACAGCTCACAAACACTCGTGTTTCCCAGGAAAACAGAACCAAGTGCTCTAGATATCAATTTGTTGGTGCAAGGTAATGAAAGGGGAGAAGAAGAATGAGCAATGAATGATAACAAAGAGGACTACTATTGTATATCAAAAGAGGAATGCATAAGTTACAATATTGATAGCCTAGGTAGCATATTTATACTAAAAATGAAAATGCCAAAAGGCCCTATTAAAGAATAAGCATTGGGAATTGTAGACATTAACTAAATTACATTTCCAATAATCAAAACCTCAAACTGTTGCTGCCATTTTTTTGTTCCATTCTCCATCAACATAAGTAATTAATATTCCTAAATACGTAGTTTATGTTACTGAAATCAGTTTTCCAAACCAAAATTTTAAAAATATAATTCTCTCACCTCGACAACATTTTGCACGACAGTTCTACCTTCGGCAACAACAACTCTCACCTCGACGACTTATAAGCAAGATATCGCATGAGTAACTTCGTATTGAATGAAGAAGATGAACACTTACCTCCAATTTTCTGTCAATGGAGTTTAGATTAGTATACAATAAAATAGAAATCGAAAATTAGAAAAGTAGAATTCATGAACGGTTAAAAGTTGCGACCTTAGAAGTGATAACATTTTGTATGATTATTTTGGAACCGAGTTGGTGTTGTTTGGTCCATTATTTTAAAACATCCCTCATTTATGTAAAATTAGTATTCAAAGCGTTTGTATTTAAGCAGCTTCGTCGAAACCTAAGAACTGAGAAGTTTCAAAGAGTTTGGAAATGTTGAGTTATCTTAACCTGTAGAGCCTCCAAATATTGTTGTCTTGTAAAAAAAGGGTGAGTTCTTACCAAGAAGTTTAACTGCCTTTTTTCCATCGGGTATTCGACTGTCATATTATTATAGTATGGTTAGATCATGTTCGAGGAAACAACACATAAATAAAAAATATAAATGACCGAGTAATCTCTATGTTATTACCATTATGAAAACATCGCTTAAAGTTGATCCCATTCCTGAAAGCATCAGAACGATTTGCTCGAATTCAAGAAGCTCTGTAGTTATATTAATTTTATACAAAAAGTTTAGTTAGATTCATTTGGTGATAGGGTCATGACTTATACCATGCTGAGAAAATAAAAAATTTGCCTCAATTTTATCCAAATGATTATCTAAAGTATCATTTAATTAAGAAATACAGTAAAAAAAGGAAGAAATAAAATTTGGCATTACATTGACTCTTTCTATGCGGCGCATTTCATCTTCAAGTAATGATAATTGTGCAGGTGATGTCCAATGAATGCAGTCAACAGTACTAAAATGCAAAAAGAAATGTCAAATTAATCTCATAAATCTCCATTAGCTTAGTTTTTTCATAAACAATGTTGTTTTCGTGACGAATCAGGAATACATAATTGTGATTAATGTAAAATTGAAACCTATTTGCAAAAGAAACACAACAAAATGAAGTGTTAAAGTAATGCTCATACGATAGAATAAAGAAATACCAACTATCAATAAGTTGTTGAAGTAAATCCGGATTCCCGAACTAACAATATACTTTGGCTCTTCCAAAGTCTTCTTCAATTGCAAACACCTCACATGCCACATTAGCACAATTTTTGCAGCCTGTTCAAGAATTTTGAAGTACAATTACATAACACACCTTACAATTAATTACACCAACATAAACATGATAGAGCTCTTAATTAAAGTAACATGCATGGCATCATTGTAAGAGTGATTCAAAAATACCTATGCAGCTGAACTCATTGACAAAAACATGATCCTTTGGAGTAGAATCATCTGCGAACGGATTAATTAATGTCAAAGAATACCCATGAATATCATCGTAAACCCTACGCTGAGCTGGATCACTGAGCACCTGAATTACAATAGTTAGAAAACCTGAAACTACAAATTTCTTAACCATTAAATTGTAGATATCCAAAAACAAACCCACCTCATAGACTTCATTGATGAAGGTGCAGAAATTCGCAGAACGATAGGAATCAGCAAATTGCTTTTTGTGGAATTGCTTGTATGAAGATTTGATGTTTGTGGAATTGTTGCCGAGTGGAAGATGGAGGATGTATTGGAGGAAGAACGATGCAGATCAAGAGGAAGAAGGAAGACGAGGAGGAAGAACGAAGCAGAACGATAGAGAGAAACAAAGAAAGGACGAGAGCGAGAAAGAGATAAATTAAGGAAGATGAAATGAAAGAAGTTTGGAGAGTGAAACCGTTCAATTGCACTTTGGAATTTCGAAATAAAATTAAAGTTTAGAACTAATATTTCGTTTGCCTCACACACATGAAGCCACGTGTTGTGTTTTTGAAACAAAAAGACAAAATAGGCCGAATGGATAGAATGAGTTTTTTTTATATTATAGATATTAAAAAATTATGTATATATTAATATTGTTTTGTTAATATACTCTAATGATTTAAATATAGTAATTAATAAGCTAAAGTTGTATGAAGCCCATCATAAGGATACATGGTGGTGAGTTATTATTCAGAAGAATTTAGACGGTGACTAATTAGTTTATATCAATGTTATGAATATATGATTGGTGAATGTAATCACCATAGAAAAAATGAATGAAAAATTTAGCTTTAGAATAGTTTAACATCTTTTAGTGAAACTACTTTTTATTCCGCTGAACACTAAAATACTTATTCATAACAAATAGTACTTCCGTTGCCATGACTCTACCTCTGAACCCCTTCATCGAGGAACTCTCTGCAACCCTCACCCAACTTCTTCAAAATCAATAATCTTTCCAAGCAAGTGTATCTGATAAAATCAACAACCTCACCTTAAGAATTTCTTAACCTTCACACCCGCATTCCATCATCCAGTTTCCCTTCACCCTTCATACCCTAAGGCCCCGACATTCATTCATCTCCAACAACCACCATGAGTTCTCTCCCCTACAATTACTACCCTCGTGACCCTATCATCATCAACGTTCGTATATTGTTGAATCCACAACCCTACCAACATTCAAGTTCCATAACTCCCAACGCCATCCCTGGTGCCTTCTTATCATGGTATCTAACTTTCCTAAAATGAGAAGTTGTTAAATTATAATGAAAATAGCTCTCTATGTTTTCTATCATGGTATCAGTAGTAGCGTAACTCGATCCTAGGTCACGACGCCTCCACCACCTAGTTTGCCTCCCGCTTTGTCGTCCAACTCCGTTTGTACCTCTGTGACTGCGTCGCCGTCAGCGATGAACGGTTCTGATGACGTTCTTTGTCTTAATTTTTCGTTAAAGATTATGCAAAAATTGGATGAAAAGAACTTTCAAAAAGAATCCTGAGTATTCGATTTGGATCCAAATAGATCTAATGTTGTTATTTTAGCTTCAATTTACACTGTCTAGCAAAATTCTCTCGTGTGTGTTAGGTTGCACTCACGCCTATCAACTATGGGATAGGTTATTCCAATACTTTCAGAAGCAAACATGTGCCAGTGCTAGGAAATTACGTGTAGAACTCCATGCTTTTAGGTTGGATTCTAAGTCTATTAAGGATTATCTGCTCAAAATCAGAACGACCATTGATGCAATTGCTTCTATTAGTGATCCTCTACGTGTTTCACATCACATAGATGTGATTCTTGAAGGTTTGCCCTCTGACTACAATCTAGTTGTGTTTGTAATTGAGAGCAAGTTTGGCATTATGGATCTAGGTGAAGTTGAAATCCTATTAGTTTCTCATGAACTTAGGCTTACTAAGTTTAAAAAGGTTTCAATTCCAGACCTTACAGAGTTAAATGTAACTCATAATGTGCATGATGTATCTGGCTATCTGATGCTGGTGATTCCAATGATGTTGCAAGTTCTGATTCATCTGCACCACCTGCTCCTCAATCCTCTGAGCTAGAGTATTCATGCTTCAGAGGATCTAGATCTGGTCGTGGTGGTGGCAGAAATGGTAGAGGTAGAGAAGGTCATTACTCTAACCTTCAGTGCCAAGTGTGCTCTATGTTTGGCCATTCTGCATTGAACTGATGGCATAGGTTCAATCAACAGTTTCAAGCTCCTAATGCTGGTGGAAACTCCTTCAACTCCACTCCTTGGCAAGGTTGCAATGCTTATCTTGGTCATAATGTATGGACCAGACCTCCCACACCATCAAGAATGGCTTCACGTCCCATGCTGCCCCCTATCACCTTTGTGGCTAATTTTATACCTTCCACCTTCACTACTTGGTTCCCAGACTCAGGAGCATCTTATCATGTCACAAGTGATACTAAAAACCTTCAACAAATGACTCCTTTTGAAGGACACAACCAAATTTTCATTAGCAATGGTCAAGGCTTGCATATTAAATCAGCTGGCTCTAGTTCTTTTCTCTCACCTTCTCATCCACACACACATCATACTCAATAATCTTCTAAGTGTCCCTTCCATTACTAAAAATATTTTGAGTTTTAGTAAGTTCTCAAAAGATAATAATGTCAATTTTTTGTTTACTGCTGATAAGTGCCTTATCAAATCATGGGATTCTGATGCTGCTCTGCTTGAAGAGTCTGTTGGCAGTGATGGATTATATGAGTTACCTCACCTGTCTCTGTCTATTCCTACTAAGTCTTTTGTTTCTTCCACTTGTGACCCTGTTAATAATAATGATGTACCTAGTGCTCATTATACTAGAGTAGATCCTAATTTGCCAAATGTGTGGCATCTTAGGTTAGGTCATTCAAATATTCATGACTTAAAACTTGTGTTACAAAGCTGTAATATTTCCTTCTTTAATAAAGATCATAATTTGTTTTGTCCTGCTTGTTGACTTCACTCATATGCCTCACACACCATATACTCTAATCCATTAGAGCTTGTTTATAGTGATTTATGGGGACCTTCTCCTAATTCATATACTTTTGGTCATAATTACTATATGTCTTTTGTTGATGCTTATTCCAAAGTTCACTTGGACTTACTTACTTAAGTAAAAAAGCCGAATCTTTCCCTATTTTTAAACAATTTAAGACTATGGTTGAACTTCAACTGGGCTTTCCTATTAAAACCACCCAGTCTGATTGGGGAGGAGAATTCAGACCTTTTATTAAATTCTTAACTTACTTAGGCATCATCCCTAGTCATATGCCATTATGCACACCATCAAAATGGTGTTATTGAAAGGAAACATAGGCATATTATTAACCTCGGCCTCCCATTGTTAAGCCAATCATCTCTTCCTTTATCCTATTGGGATTATGCCTTTTCTTCTACAGTGTATCTCATAAATAGACTTCCATCTTCCTCTATCAACTTTCAAATACCTTATACATTATTGTTTCATGTCTCTCCTGACTATAATTTTTTTAAAGTGTTTGGCTGCTCTTGCTTTCCTCTTCTAAGGCTTTATACCACACACAAACTTGACTTTAGGTCTCAAGAATGTCTTTTCCTTGGATACTTCACTTCTCACAAGGGTTATAGGTGCTTATCTCCTAGTGGTAGACTCTATAACTCTAAAGATGTTTTATTCAATGAATCCAAGTTCCATTTTCTTGAGCTATTTTTTAAGCTTAACCCTAGAGCTACTTCTACAAGAGCCACTACCTTGTCTCCTCTTCCTATTCATTTCCCTTCTATCACAGCAGGCTCCAATTATGTCATAGACTCAACATCTTAAACACACTCTTCTTCTCCATCTCATGTTAACTCATCTCATGAGTCTTTTTCTGCACCTATTCATAAATTTGATGTTGCCTCTCCTTCTGTTTCTACTCTCACTTCTCCTTCTGGTTCTGACTCCTTTGCATTAGAAATTTCCAGCTCTTCTTCTATCTTTAACTCTGTCACATATGTCAGTTCATAGTATATTCCTCCCTTGGCTATCCCTGTTCTTGTTAAGCATATCAATATTCACAATATGTAAACAAGGGATAAATTTGGTTTTGCTCAATCAAGACTTAAGCCAAGACTACTTCTAACTCATTCTGAGCCTAAAAATGTTAAGCAAGCCTAAGCTAGTTATGACTGGAAGTCAGCTATGCAAGCTGAAATTGACGCCCTCTTGACCAACAACACTTGGTCTCTTGTTCCTATTTCTCCCAATAGACAAGCCATTGGTTGTAAGTGGGTTTTTAGGGTCAAAGAAAACCTTGATAACACAGTAAACAAATTCAAGGATAGGTTGGTAGCCAAAGGGTTTAATAAAAGGGGAAGGGGTTTGATTTTACAAAAACATTTTCCCCAATGGTAAAACCCATTACTGTCAAAATTATTATCATAATGGCTATCACTAATCACTGGCCAATCAAGCGACTGAATGTTAATAATGCATTCGTCAATGGTCTTCTTGATGAAAGAGGTGTATATCCTGTAACCTCAAGGATTTGTGAGTTATAATCAAACTCAAGTGTTCAAACTTAATAAGGCCCTATATGGCCTTAAGCAAGCCCTAGGCAGTGGTTTGAGAGACTTCAAACTGTCCTTATTAAACTTCACTTTCAAGCCAGTAAATGTGACCCATCTCTTTTCCCCTACTTGCCCAATGGGCACACTATCTATCTCTTTGTATATGTGGATGATATAATCATCACTGACAGTTCTGAAACCCTCATCAAAGAAATTGTCACCCAGCTAAATAGTGTTTTTCACTCAAATTTCTAGGAGGTCTTGATTATTTCCTTGATATTGAAGTCAAGAAGACTGCTAATGAGTCTCTTCTTCTCACTCAATCCAAATATATTAGAGACTTACTTCAAAGGACTAATATTTTTTAGTCATCTCTTATGACAACTCCCATGCAATCCACTTGCAAATTAACTAAAAATGGGTATGCTTCCCTCTCTGGTCCCTTTTTCTATAGGTCAGTGCTTGGTGCTCTTTACTATGCTACCATCACCAGACCTGAACTTGCCTATAATGTCAATAAGGTGTCTAATTCATAGCTCATCCTCTTGAGATTCATTGGGTTGCTGTTAAGAAAATTTTGAGGTACTTAAAATGGACTTGGTCATGGCCTCTGTGATACGGTGAGAGAACTGACTTGGGATTTTGCGTTTGTGTTCGCAAATGTTTCGGTTTAGCAAGAGTCGCCACCGACTTTTTATTTTATCCTAAGGAAAAGTCAAAAAGCACAGGAAAGACCTTTGAGACGTTTTCTTGGGTTCGGGGAGTAGATTATAGAAAGAGAAGGTATTAACACCCTTTCTATCCATGGTTATCCATGGGCTCTTAGTTACTTGCTTAGATCACTTGCTTTGCTTTTCAATTGTTTGAAATGGTGCTCTTCAATTGTTTGAAATGGTGCTTTGTGTGTAATTTTGAAAGATGTTTTGAAAAGAGACCATCGTTGTGACAACCTTTGTAATGATTCTTGTTTGAATGTATACAAAGGTGTTTTTGTCTTTTGAAAAGTTTTCAATGTTTGAAAGTAGGGTTTTGAATTTGTGTTGTGAAGTGTATTTTGAAGATAACAAGGATGTTTTTGCAAGTTTTGATCAAGTAACTAAGAGTTGTCTACCCTATTTACTCAAAGATCTTTCTTATGTTTTTAACCCTTTTAACAGTGTTGTTTCACCATTGTATTTGGTGAACAACCTTGTGTTAGTATGTTAAACGGGACAGGCGCGGGTCATCGTATAGACCATGATAGCAATAGTGTCAAGTATTTTTGGCAATTTTCTTGAGGGACTTGATCATTTTGTTTAGGCAACCCAGATAGCGTCATCGAGGGACTATGATCTTTTGTTTTGTTTTTGTTTTG